ATAAAGTCTCTCTCCACAGAGGTTTTTCCTATTCAGTAGTTAAACAGAAATTTGTGTTAATATCTGATACTCTTAAGAGATGTAACATGCCAGCATAGTCTTCTCTCATTGTTTTATACTTCAATATCAAACCACTGACAATAATCACAGAAAGGGAAACTATCATAATAACTTTAAAAATAGGATATACTAATTATATTCACATTTACACTTCTGTCTTAATGACATTATTCAAAAATGAGGTTTTCTTCTAAAGATATTGAAATATTTGTTTTTTTTAAATTGGAAGATATAGCCTCCCCTACACATACCCTGGAGCCTTTGATTTCTTGAAGACAACTGTGAGACAGAGGGAAGGGCCAGATTCTTTTAGGTAAAGCTCATTCCTTTATCAGTTTCTACCGTCTATGGGTTGGGCTCACAGGGACCATACAGTCCATACATTTAGAAATGATATGCCATTTCTAAACTATCAAAATAACCCGTTTCAAAACTCAACCATTCTGAAATAACTCTAATCTATAATCAAAGCATCATTTTTCAAATGGCTCCAAAGAAACGTTTCTGCACATTATCTACACTCTGGAGTAGAAGCTACAAACCAGCATGTGGTAGCACACAATGACTCCTGTACAAGGTGGAAAACTTGGACTCAGACTTGATTGTTGACCTCGAAAGGACTAGTTCCACATGTAAGTCCAGGGTCTTTCTATTCACAGCACAGTGAGGAAGCCCATCAGGATACTGAACTTAAACTTACATTACATAGTTCTGACAGTGACTGATTTCTGCTCCATTGAGTTCTGAACAGAAGTTCTGTCCCCAGAATTCATTATGCTGCAAAGCCTGTAACACAAGTGGGAAGGAGCAAGGTAAACAGTATTAAATATCAAACATTTTCCAAAGAAAATAGTTACTTCCCCAAATTCAACCTATCATTATTTGAAATATATTATATATTAAAGGAAATAAAAAGCACACTAAGTTCAAGTTCACAGTCTGCCCAGTAAAGCTTTTGCTATTTTCCCTGGTGATCAGGAGGCCTAGGGCTAGAGTGCTGCTTCCCTTGACTAAGGGCTGAGATCTCTGACCAGATTACCACAAACCTCCTTCCTTCTTTGACCGCCAATCCTATAACCCCATAAAACAATGAATAGTGCTGATTCATAGCAACAATCTTTTCTTACCTATTTTTATCAAATCCAGTTGTAATTATGAATCTTTGTTATACAATATTAGGACACAATTTATTGCAGGGAACAGCTTGGTAAAGCCTATATTTGCTGTGAGTATTATATAGTCTCTGTTTCTTTTTAAAAATTTCTCTTCTATTTAAACTATGTATTGCAGTCTATGATCTCATTATTTCTTTATTAGATAGAAACCCAATATGATTTTTATGAAATAGTCTATCTTCTTTACTCTGAGATTTCTATCACACTTCATGTTCAAATAACAGGGTGATTGAGGAAAATTCCAGATGACTCAGGGATGTTAGGCTACCTAAGGTGACCAGGAATTCTCATCTATTACTCCTGAAAGAAAATTTCTGGACAGGAGACATTCAGAGATCACAGCTGGGGATATGACTTGGTTGGAATTCATTTCACCTGTTACAGTTTAAGAACTCAGTTACAGCAGCAGGTGAGGACAACTTACCGTAAACCCATAATGAGGAATACTAAAGTACTGAATCCATGGAATCTTAGACATCTGGGTTCCAAAAAATAGTGAGACACCGTCTGAGAAAAACTAAAAGACAAAACCCAGGAATTAGAACTAGTCCAGTGACTGAAGAATTCTAGACAAAATCCTCTTAAAGATTCTGACAACCTTTTGAACATTACTGCCAGGAGCAGCTTTTTTGAAATTCTTTCCACTTAAAGCAAGAGTGTTCATTCTTTGCATAGCTAGTCTTCCACTTATTTGGAGGATGCTGAGTTATGAAGACTATGTCCTCATCTTTCTCTGTAACCCCAGCAATGGAGATTACAAAATGCCCTTGTCTCTCAGTGTCTGAGGGGTTAGGCCCAAGGCCCACAACATGTGGCGGAAGCCAAACCCTGAAGACGCTCCGTTATTATTCAGTACAGTATTTGAGTTCTTTGTTAGAGAAATAACACATGGGAAGGAACAAAGGGGATACAAATAGGAAAGGAAGAATTAAAGGACCCTGTCTGCAGATGATATGATTCTAAACATTAACAAAAACCTCTAAGACTCCACCAGAAAACAGCCAGAGCTGATGGACACATTCAACAAAGTAGCAGGACGCACAATTAGCACACACAGAAAAATCAGCCTTCTCATACACCACCAAGAGACATACAGAGAATGAAATCAGAGACTCAATCCCATTCATAATAGCCTGGAAAAGTATAAAAGATCTTGGAATTAATCCAATCAAGGAAGTGAAATCTTGTACAATGAAAATTTTAAGACACTGAAGAAAGAAAGTGAAGAGCCCAGAAGATGCAAAGACTCGCCATGTTCATGGATAAGTAGGATTAATACTGTGAAAATGGCCATTGTACCAAAAGCAATCTATAGATTCAACACAATCCCCATCAGAATTCCAACACCATTCTTCACAGAATTTGAAAAAAATAATCGTAAGCTTGATGTGAACATGAAGACCCATGCTAGCCAAAAGAATCCTGAACAATGAAAAGCCTCACGAAGTATTGCCATCCTTGACCTCAAGTTATACTACAGACCTATAGTAATGAAGACAGCATGGTAGTATCATAAAAGCAGACATTTTAATCAGTGGAATCAAACTGAGGGGCCTCATTATATATATAAAACACAAGGGAAGGAACACATATGTGTGTGTGTGTGTGTGTGTGTGTGTGTATAATCTGACACTACTTCTACCATGTGTTGTTGTTGTTGTTGTTGTTGTTGTTTGGTTTTTGGTTTTTAAAATAAGCCAAAAATATCCAATGGAGTAAAACCAGCATCTTCAACCTATCTCTCACCCTGGACAACTGAACTCCAAACAGATCAAGGACTTAAACATAGGACTTGATAATCTGAATCTGTCAGAGACAAAAGTGGGAATGCATTGGAAATTTTAGGCACAAGAAAGGACTTCCTGAACAGCACCCCAGTAGTATATGCATTAAAATCAACAATTGTTAAGGAGACCTCATGAAACTACAAAGCTTCTGTATAGCAAAGGACACCACCATGTGAGTGAAGAAATAACCTACAGAGTATGGAGAACATCTTGAACATCTTTCCCAGCTATACATGTGACAGAGGGTTACAATCTGGACTATACAAAGAAAAAAAAAAAAAAAAAACCCTGAACATCAAGAAAGCAAATGTAAATCCTTTGCAAATGTAAATTAAATTTCAGATATCATCTTACCCAGTCAAAATGATCAAGATGGAAAAAAAGACAAAAAATGCTGGATATACGTGGAGTCAGGAGAATTACTCATTGTTGGTGGGAGTACTAACGGGTGCCATCACTATGGAAAGAAGTGTGGAGGCTCCTCAGAAAGCTAGGAATAAATGTGCCATTTGATGCAGCTTCACCACTTGTGGGCATATACCCAAAGGACTTACTCTCTGTAGTTTATTTCTTACTACAGATACATTGATCATCCATGTTTCCTGATGCTCTATTCACATATGCTAGGAAATGGAAACAACATAGATGTGTATCAACTGAGTTTTGGATAATGAAAATGTAGCATATATATGTATGTATATATATGGGCACATTATTCACTTGCTTTGATGCAGCTTCACCACTTGTGGGCTTATACCCAAAGGACTTACTCTCTGTAGTTTATTTCTTACTACAGATACATTGATCATCCATGTTTCCTGATGCTCTATTCACATATGCTAGGAAATGGAGACAACATAGATGTGTATCAACTGAGTTCTGGATAATGAAAATGTGGTATATATACACAATGGCACATTATTCACTTGTTAAGAAAAATGAAATTATGAAATTTGTAGGAAATGGAGATGGAAATAATCACATTAACTGACGTAACCTAGGCTAAGAAAAGCAAACACTATATTCTTCTTCATATATGGATCCTAGCTTTTAACTGTGATGTATATGTATCTAGGTGGGAGAAAATACGGGCAAAGGCCAGGAAACTAGAAAGGGACCCAGGAAACTGGAACCAAAGAGGCTTTGAGTGCAAGATAGACAAGAGAACCAAGGAGAAGAGGGAATACAGGGGCCAAGTGGTTAGGGGTGTAGGAAGA